ATCACTTTGTCTAATTCAGAGCCGGCCACTTGGGAAATGAGACTAGAGGACTTGTATTAACGGCAAATTGCTTAAGGAGTCCTCGGTTAACACCTCTTGTTCGTATTATTAATAGTTTTTGACACTAATTGGAATTAATTTGTATATAATAACATCGTTTTTCTTTATAAATTGGTTTTTGCAAATCTTATCACAAAAGCTCCAAGTCATATGAATACTTGCAATCGTTATAATTTTTATTTTTTGTTATTTATTGGATTTTTTAAAGAAAAATGTAACATATAACTAAATAAAAATTTAAACAGAGTAAAACAATTTTATCAAAAATGTTGCCATGGAAACAATGGTAGGAGTACAATATTTCCTCCTTTTGCGTTGATCACCGCTTGCATTCGACGTGGCTTCGATTTTATGAAGTTTTGAATGTAATGATGCGGAATATTTTCATACTCATCCAACAGCGGCATTCTTAATTGCTGCATCTTTTACCCTCTTTGATTACTCGTCCCAAAGATGTTCGATAGGGTTTAAGTCACTACACGCTGGTCACTCTAAACATTGAATCGAAACCCATTCCAAGTAGTAACGATCCTAATTGTGTGGGGTTATGCATAAAAATAAAACAGTCGCTAATTAGTGGCATACAAGGAACAACTGATAACACATTTTCAATGTATCGCGCAGCTGTCAGAGAGCCTCGATGAAAGTCAGTTTGTGCGAACTTACGTAGAAATGCCCAAACCATAATAGCATCATCTCTGTAGCTTCTCTGGAGTGTAAATGTTCGGGGGTACATCGCTCTCCTGTTCTTCCCCAAACCCACCCACGGCCGTCCGAATATCTAAAAAAAAGTTGACTTATTCGACAACAAGATTTTAGTCCAATCTCAGACCAGTTGGTGTGATTTCTTTCGCGACTGTGCTGTTCTGTGCCTCGAGAGAAATTCTGGAACTGTGGCAAGTTTTCTCTCATGTCAGTAAACTGAAATTGTCGTTGCTTGGTCTCATTAGCGGTAGAATTTAGATTACGGAGTACATTGGAAATAACAAAACGATCATCTCTCTAAGATGTGCCACAATGGCGAACTGATCCATGCTTTCCTGGGTAACCTCCCGTATCTTGGTAGTGATGGAACATCCTTCGTACAGCTGTTCTGGGAATGTTAAGCACCCTGGCCACATTCGCTTGATTTCTTCCATCTTCCAACAATGCTATGTCTCTAGTCACTTAAAACCATCACTCAAAAAAATTTGAAACTTAAAAATGGTACAACTTAAAAAAATCAAACCACTGGAACGTTAGAAAGAAAAAAAACAACAAAAAAGAGATTGACGTTTCAAAGATTTATTTCCAAAATCCAATTGTAAACACAATTTACATTTGTTTTATTTATCTCTAATCCTTTAAAACATACTGAATGAATCAGTTGTAAGATAATCAATGGAGGATTGTCTAAGAGATAATTAAAAATATTAAGGGTGGGCACTTATTTTGCTTCTTAGTCCATAATAAGAATGTCATGATACTTACATTTTTTTATTAACACTATTTTTTCTATTTCCATATGCAAGTTTTTCGACTGATATTGTCATAGAATGCGTTTTTATTTTCTTAAAAATTCCTTCTAAACCATGACACTATTTGTTTGACTTATTGTTCTCTTTTATAAATAATGAAAACGTCTAAGTCTCTTAAAGGGGATAATAGAAATTATGTCTCATTTTTCGATAAATAAAAAGGAACGAAGGGAGTATCAGAATCCGTCCACTTCGACCCCCTTGAGTAATAACTTGGTTAAAGGAGCATCGGTTGCCCCGGCTGACCCCTATTAGATTGTCCGATATTCCGCTTCCTAATCCGTTTTGGAGCACTCGATCGGCTTTTTATCTGCGTCCCCATTCCGAATAGCCGCCATCTGCATAAGTCCGATATGCCTAATACAGCTGTAAGAAATAACCCGGCCCGCCTGGGATTACGAGATAACGGCCAAAGGAAAAGGATGGAGAATTTTGCCTTTGAAGGCGGAGCTGGGCTTCGGCTCTATTTTCTAAAAGGGCTAAATAAATACAATTATTTTCGAAGGCGGAGATAAGACGAAGGCCCTTTTTGAAATTACCCATTTTTCTGCTTCGGTAAATTGGATATAAACTTATTTCTTTGACAACTCAACAAAACTAGATGTGATTAGGGTGGTCTCAGGATTTTTTTTTCTTGTGTAAAACTAGTTTTTCGTTACTAACTCGCAAAAAAATAAGAACAAATTTATTATTATTATCATATTCTAGAAGAAAAGGGCAATTGCAAAGCAAATCCAACAAAAACATTTCAAGAAATAATTGCGTAGATTCATTGTTGCGATGCAGCCCCGACTCTGCTCCGCGACAAAGAACCGTGTCCAGACCAAGATTCAGTTCACATTCATTAGTGCCTGCAAAATGACGAGGGAACCAGCTCTCAGGAATTTCCCTTGCTCTTTTTTGCATTGTACGTAGTGCATTTTTTTTCAATTTCGGCGACGGAAACACTGAATTTTTGGGTTAAACCGTTCAATGTTGCACTTTTCAATTCCCGATTTCTGTATTCCGTGAGTGATACATCCCACAAACACCGATGGGAGTGTGTATGTCTTCAATAAACTGTAATGTCAACTCGGTACTCCACAACGTACCTTTAATACAAGACAGTATCAAAATCTTCAAGAAAACACTCACTAGAACGTCAACTGAACAAATGAAGCACTTGACCGTAGAGCTAAATAGGCTAGGACATCGTACTATAAGTTATAGTAATGACCGAGCAGTAAAAATATTCTAAGGAACTATTGACAAAACAAGGGCATTAAATTGACACTAATAATTCATTGGGTGTACTCATTGGGATGTACCATCACCACTCTTGTATTTTATTAGTTGATGATCCACCTTTAAAGCTAAATGGGCTAGGACACTTTACCGTATGTTATGCTAATGATATGAATTAAAAAGGGCAAATATGATGGAACTGTTTCATCTCAAATGCAAAGTGTTCTCAATTTTGTTAAAAGATCGTATGAAAATTTTGGTCTGGGTGCCAACCTGAAGAAAGCCACACTAATAACTTTCATAAGGAAGCTCAACCAACAAGCACCCTCTTTAAAAAAAAAAAAAAAAAAAAAAAAAAATTCTCCAGGGAAACGAAATACCTAGGATTAACCTGCCATTAGTTAACATTAGTGATTACATACAAATTACTCTCTTTTCTTAGATAACTTGAATCAAAATTCAGTACTATTGCACCAAATGTAAAATCTTTGATGAAACCCAAAACACATATTCATAAAGTAAATATTGAAAAAGTAAATGATATTCGTAAAAAAAAAATTAAGTCCCAATACTTATATGCTCTTTTGAACAAATCATCCATCAGAATAACCTGTTTGAGAAAGTAATACTTCACTCTGGCGATTGGTGACGTTGTAACAACACAAAACTCATCGTTTCTAAAAACAAACTAACTTGGATACATGTGCTCAACCAATATTTAGCTATCCCCAGTGAAGAAACTATTAGTATAATTAGACACAATGGAACAACAATACAGTCGTTAAAAGGAGTCTATGTGACTAACATTAACAAAAGTAAGGTGATCTATCGGAACAAAGAATTATACTACTCGTCCAAGACTTCTGGTTATGCAAATATTTTCAGTAAGATGGAACTTTCACTAAACAATTTACAACCCGAATTCTCTATCAACATAACAAAATTTGGGACTTGAATTAAGCCCCATCATGTCTCTCCAGTCATCCAGACATCTTATATCATCGTCACTAACCGTATGGACAATACCATTCTACTACTGGTTATTGATAATTGCAGTAGGGTATGTAACCACCTTCATGTAACCATCGCACACAAAATTCAGCCGTCACAACCAGTGATCTCCGGGAGATTTATTTAGCCATAGAGGAGTTACATCAGCTTAAACTACGCACTCGGCATTATTATTGGCTAATTTCTAGGAATGCTTGAACAACTAGAAATCCTAGAAATTAGACCACCCAGTCGTAGATTGAAATATCTAGGGAAATTCGCAACCAATCTACTTGATCTTGATGTCATTTTAATATTAATAAATTTAGATTTTGTGAATGTATCAACTACGTGGAGTGCAGGAAAGTGAAGCAGGAAATTGCTAGAGTGTATGCAGAAAGATTTCCTGGGCGGATTAGATCAAATTGTATTTGTAAGAATATTCGGGACTACTGGTTCAAATGATAATCATCGTCCCCAAACTAATCAAACGAGAAAACGTAAATATGGTACGGAAATAGCTGTGTTGATTTTTTAAAATTTTATAAAAGGAAATCATAATTCATCTTTAAGAACAGAGTTATGTAATGAACGAATTGTGTTTTCAAAAATAGTGTCAACCGAGGTCTAAAAAAGTCAATTTAATTGTGCAGCATTTCTCTTGTTCTAGATTTGTTCAACTCGACTATGTACAAAGGATTACTTATTTGGCCTATATGGAAATGTTAATGGTATAAACTTCTGATTTACTATCCCATATTCTCTGAACTTATGAGTTCAAATTTATTGAATTTAACATCAGTTAAAGTGAATCACAATGCCAATAAGCCTTATAACAACTCTTAAAGTATGAAATCAAAGGCCTGAATTGAAATATTTCTGGAAATGCAAAACAATGTATGTAATTGTTCTTATTGTCATTTTTTATGTTAACAAAATATTTCTGAAAATATGTGCACCAATACTGGGTAGGTGTTATTTGAACAAAAAAAAAAATATAATCCATTACTTATTACTGTGACATTAAAAAAATATTTGTACCCATTGGTAACAACTAAGGGGGTTTACCATTTAAACCATTTTTCTATAAACCTTAGTTTTCGATTATGTATGTTAAAAATTAATTCTGTAATGATATAAAACAATATTTTAACGGCTTTGTTTAGTACGAAACAATTTAAGACGGGATACAGCAGCTTCAAAGAACAAAACCTGAAATCTCCAAATCGTTTATTAAATCCAATTGTGTAAATCACTAGACATTATCCTCTGTTTTTGGTTTTCTTCGGAACTATATCAACTTCTGATACGAAGCAGGCAACTGTGTTTCCTTTCATCTTAAGGGAGCAGTAATATTTGTATTTATTGTAGAAAAAGATAGGAATTTCAGGCACTTCAATCGATAGGATTAAATTTTTCACCGTGTAATTTCCCTGAAAGTTTGCCCCTTTTAAAAATTATTAACATAATTTATATAATTTCACTTACTATCGGTATTGGGCAAGATTTTCGATCGGAATTGGAAGCCTTCAAAATATTTTTTAGTGGTTCGTTAGCGAATTTCTTTAAATTGGTACATGCCTTTTTGAAATCTTGTTTGAAGTAATTTTCCTTCCAGCCACCGTTTGTAAATTGATCCAAACGCACCGTAGCCTAAAAGGAAATAATAAGCGAATTAAATGTTTTCAAAGAAAACTTGGACGCATTTACTGTGAGGTTATCGTCAAAAGGGATCCCGACGTACACAGATCCATCCAGTCCTAGTAAGGTCCTGTTGATTTTCCTGAGTTTTATATCTGCGTTAAGAGTTTCAGGTCCGGGGTTCGTAAGGCAGCTTTCAAGGTAACGAACGATGACATCGTAAGGTCCCTGACGATAAAAATATTCTTGAATGACAATCCAACTTGGAAAATATTTCCCTAGCACTTACAGCCACGTTCTTATTGAGATAACATAGGCAGGAGCCAAACGCGTACAATAGAAAAATAAACACCTCCCTGGAACGCATAGCAAACCCTGAAAAGTTCTCAAGGGATTTTGTGCAAATAACAGTCGATCTCGTATTATTATCTAGCCATGAAACATCGGCATATTTATTGTCACATCTCTGAAATTGAAACCGGTAGAAGATCGTTAGCAGGGCACATTAACATCTAATTACAGCAGGTTTATTGCCTGGAGCAGGAAATTACTTTTCGCCAAATGATGAAAACTGCCATGTTAATAACTGCGTTGTAACTACGCACGTGTAATGGTGTAATTTTTAAAACACTTGCACGAACGAGAATGGAAAATTTATTTATGTCGTTTTTCGCTTGGTCGGCAATCGAGTGTGAGGGAGTGTGTGTGAGAGTATGTGTAGCAAGAAGTGATATGTGATACGGGCCTTAATAAAAACGATTAAATACTGTAATTCAACACCCTCCTTCACTACTCCTCTCAACTGGGAAATATTTAACGTCAAACGGGAGCGTCACCCCTTATAGCGTATTTTATGATGTTAAGCAAGGATCAGGCTTTCACCGTTACACGAAGCAATAAGGAAATTCTAAAAAAAACACCATTTTCGCCTCGTTTATCCATTTTAAAATCTATGTTCTATATTAAAGAAATGTAGTAATGTATAAATGTGTTCTAATCTAGGAGGCAAATTAAGCTAATTCAAAGTTAATTGATGTAGGTAACTACCTATCATTTGGTTGGCTTGCCCATCCTTGCTGATTTTTGTTAGTTGAGACTCGTTTCGGCATTTCGCCGTCTTCAGTGTTTTGGTGATTTTTGTAGTGTGAATTACATTTACGGTCGTGGACGGTGTGATGGGACTGTGTAAGTATTAGTTGTATTTGATGGATTAAGTCGGTCTTTAATATACGGTTTTTTTTGTACTTGTGTAATGTTTTAAATGGTATAAATTATGTTTAGGAGTAATTGTTAATTTGTGTATTTATGCTTTTTGTGTAGTATTTAGTTTTTCAGTGTTGAAAGTGTTATATTTATATATTTCTAAGTTTCCAAGCATATTCCGTCGTTTTGTACGTTGTGTATTAGTTAAGGTTTTTAGTTGAGATAAAAAAGTCAGGGTCACGAGCGAGATTCGAACCCATGACCTTTGGCTAGATACGCCGCTGCTCTACCACTTGCTATCATGACTTCAAGTGAAGTGACGATAGCTCAAGTGACCACGAAAACTAGTGACGTTTTTTATTAGTTTCATACTTATTTGTATTGTGGTTGTTTTCTACAGGTTCTATAGGTGGGTCGTGTAATTCGATTTTCCATTATTGCTTCTAAACGATTGGATGTTTCTTTTATCTGTCTTTTATTTTTCGTTCTGTATGTCCTTTTTTTAGTAGTTATATTCAGTTTCTAGTTGATCCGTCTTAGTGTTTCGTCTTAGCAATTTTCGTATAGTGTTTGTGGTGATATTTTTATGCTTATAGAATAAATTAGTTAGTTGGTACGTCTCTTTCGTAGTGCATGAGGATGTGTTCAATTAAGTTTTTTTTTTAATTTATTAATAATTACTGTATTTCTGAGCTGCCATTTTGTGTCGGCGTGGGTGGTTGGAGTCGGCTTGTATGATGTCAGTTGCTGTCGGTTTTCCGTAAATGTCGAATCGTAGTTTATCGTTTAATTTTTTGATTTTAAATTCTGGGAAGTTTATACTGTTGTTTGATTCTATTTCTGCCGTGAATTTTACGTTTTTGGTAATGAATACAGGTCTATTATTTTGTTGTTTATGCTCTTGTTTTGTTGTTGTCTACTATGGCAGGATGTCGTGTACGTATCTGTATATGTGTGTGTTATGTTGTTGATTTTATTTGAACCTACACCCATTTTTATCATTATATTAATCACAACAGACTTATTTTAGTGTAAACCAAATTAAACTAATTCATGAGTTTTATAAGAAATTATTTAATTACGATGGTTTGAAGAAAATTCACAAAAGAAACGGAAAATCATTTTGTAATAGATTAAAATTTAATTAAAAATTTATTACCTAGGTTTTCTGTTAATAAAGCGTATTATCTGCTCGGGCCTCGTGGAGGGCTTTAAGTATCCAAGGGACGAACGATGTCTAACCCGTCTCTATCATGTCCCGTAAGTGTTCCATGTGATTCATGTCAGAAGAACTTCTCATTGTACCTTAGCGCTGACAAAGATCGATTATGTATTATAATCAGTTCGGTTCGGTCATGGACGTTACTGATGTCTTTGAAAAGGCAGTCACTCCCGCTTGGCACATAAAGCAAAGCGTTCTCTACGTCTTCTCCTCACACAATCCCGGTCATCTGATTGCCACAAACCAAACCCGTCCTCATCTATCTACAAGTTTTTTTTTACTCTCGCTCTTTCTCTACTTTTATTTCTCCAAACATTTTACCCATTCAATATTACATATAGTCACAATGAAACAAATTCACATTGCTGTCCTTTTTTTTTGTCTCTTCCTCTTTTGTCTCTTTCCCTTTCTATATAAATCAATCTATTTCCCTAAAATAAATTTTATTTTTTTATATTTATATAAACGTATTGAAAAATATATTTTGGATGTTTTAATTAAAATATTATTAAAGATATTGTTAAAATGTGAGAGTATTTGGTAGATTTCTGTGTTTAAAAAATGAATCAAATGCTTAAAATACATTTTACATGTCAAATTGATTGTACGATTGTAATTGTTTTTCCGAATAGCAGATAACATTTTCAATTAAAAGCGGTGTCATTTGTTCAATTTTATACAATCATTCCCTCGTAGAGTACTTTTTTTTAGCATAAAGTTGTTACTTGATCTCTCCCCGAACACCATCTCACTGAATCGTTTCCCACTACAAACACTTTTCCGCACATCCCAAATGATTGCTCCGGCCAGGCCCTAATATAAAATTTTATGTTCGCAACATTTTTGCCTTCGGGCTTCCATGCTGTTATTGTTCGCATTTCCGTTATCTCGGGCGCACAGGGGCATCCGTGAAAGGGGGATGTTATGTCCAAGTCCGTACCAATGATAACGGCACCGGCTCCTAGTCGGGTTTAGGGAGGGTCCGATAAATTCGAGTTGGAAAGAGCAGTCACCACGATGCCAAGCGGACGAACGCCTCCTATCTTTTGGCCGAGGGTCGCCCTTCCGCAATAACCGGGCTGTTCCCCTATAATTTACCTTGAATATAGTCCGCCTGAAAACGAGCATGTTTTCTTACTTCGTCTGATCTCAATTTTCTAGATTTAAGCCTATTCAATTTCATACGTTTATAAAATGTGCGCACATCACATACTAAGATAAGATGTTGAAAGTCTGACATACCGAAAAAAATCATAAATTGTTGCAATTTTATACAAAATTAGGCTCAAAATTTCTGACAATCAAAATATACGAGATAAAGTTTCATGGTTTTACGATGAAAGTATTTCTTCTTTTTTTTTCTTCGTAGTAGAGTAAGATGTTGTTCCCTTTTTATTAACGTAGACTGGTGAAATTAACAAAAGACTTCATAGTATTATGTTTAATAAAAAATACCTCACAGCTTTGCATCAGTCTGCACTGACAATCTACTTTAATAATTATTATTAGTACTAGTATTTTTCTCTTTGTTTATTTCTTTTTTCTATGTATTTTATTTTTTCTCTATTTCTTTTCCACTATTTAACACACCCTCTTTTTCACTCATCTCTATTAACACATTTTCCTTTCGGTCTCTCGCTCTCATTGACTCTACTCCCCCTACTTTTCCTCTCTCCACTCTCTCTCTCTCTCTCTCTCTCTCTCTCTCTCTCTCTCTCTCTCTCTCTCTCTATCTATCTATCTATCTATCTATCTATCTATCTATCTATTTATCTATCTATCTGCCTCTTCTCTTACTTCTCCAAATCACTGATGGACTATTTAGGTTTCACGATACCTTTTATACTTTATGTTTAAGGCTTCCTTTTTATGTTTTATGCGTTTTTCATGCCTACTGTAGACTCCGGAAATTCCAAAATATCATTATTGACCTTCTCAAAAATAATTATTTCAGTACACGTTTATAAGAAAAAGCACTTTCTATCTTTATACCTATATATTTCTGGCTCTTCTAATTCTTTCATTCTCTATCTATATATAGCTTTCTCTTCCACCCTCGCTCTTTTTCTTTATCCACCTTTAATTGTATCAACCCCCCTCACTCGCTCTCTCTCTCTCTCTCTCTCTCTCTCTCTCTCTCTCTCTCTCTCTCCCTCTCCCTCTCCCTCTCCCTCCCTCCCTACCTACATGTTTTCTCCTCTTATATTTTCATTTTCTTCTGACCTAATCTTTCTCTCTCTCTCTCTCTCACTCCAATAATAACATACTCTAAACGTACTCTCAGACCAACAACCACCATCTACTTTGTGTAAAAACAAATTTTTTAAGACCTAACACTCCTTTCCCCCCAAAGAAAACCTATTTCAACCGCATCAAGTACATAATCATTATTTATGAGATAGCTATACTGGTCTTCAATTTGTAAATAATAAGTATTTTATTTTAAAATGGATGTGAAACTAATTGATGTGTAGAACATTTCAGTCTATTTTAACCATGTTTAGACAATGCACTAGGTTGGGTTAAGAGCTGCCTAAAGGGAAAAACAACAACACCCAAATAAAAGGCAGGATCAATCAAATTGAAAGGGCTCACGTCATTTTATTAGGATTCTCCGGGTGAAGTGTAGGAGCATAAAAAGTATTTCTTGACTCTAATGGTTCCCTGTCTGGCATAAGCCAAGAGGGAAATAGGCTATTAATTCAAACTAGGAAAAACAGGATGAAGCGGCTCTCCTGTTCATTTGTCTAAAGGAAAGAATAATCTCTTCAGAGACCTTGTTTTCCAACTTGAGTTAATAGTCTTTATTGTTTTCGCGTCCTGAAGACCGTTCGTATTCGTCGCGTTCATCCGCCTGAGTAATCGATTAGAACCGTTTGACACTTTGGACCTCGTCGCCCTGTCATCACTTGATTTATATCTTTGAACATGAATTATTTGACTTCTCAATTTTAAAATCTTTTGGCCATTTCAAACATTAAGAATTGTCAGCTTATTCTATCCCGTGGAGGTCAT